GGTGCTGCTTTTAATTAGCATCAACGTCATTTGTCTGTTGTGTCAGACGAAAGAAGCACGGCCTGCCAACAATTTCAGTGTGTATCGTTTTTCTTGGCCAATTTAAATGCCACACTCACACACACACATACACAGACACACGTCTGCACACTCTCAGACTGGCAGTCAACCCTTCACACACGCCTTAAAAATATGCTGTCATATGTTAAAGCCAAGCCGTCATTCCGAACCACCCACGAATAACTCATCCCATTATGATGAATGATACGACGACGCTGACGCTAACGCCATCGCCAATTGTTGTTTTGTTTTTGTTTGTGAATTACAAACAAAATGTCTAAAAGTAGAAAAAGCATAGACTACCCTTCTCTTAGTACCGCCCCCACTCGCCCCCCCCCCCCCCTCACCCTCTTGCTTGTTGCCAACAATGATGGAACAAAAGTAAACAGTTTGACATGACAGCGAAATAAAGTATCTGCCTGTCTGCCGCCTGTATGCTATACACTTGTATAGAGAATACTCGTATATATGTATATATATGCTATATAAACGTTAAGCGATTTCTCGCATCAGTCGACGCGTCCTTCGAGAGTCCACCTTCTTCCCCCATCCACTTCCTTCTTCATTCGTCCCAATGCCTCTTTTGTTTGTATTCGTTGGCACAAAATTTGCTCGTACAAGAAAAGTAATTTTATGTAATTTGTTAAGTAATATTGTTTGTTTGTCTGTGCCTCTGACGGATGTGGGTGACGGCTTTGCTTGCTGTTGTTCTTATTGTTGTTGTTGTTGTAGTTGTTGTTGTTACTGGCGGTTGCTGTGGCGGCTGTTGCAGCAACGCCTTACAAGTTAATTACAAAACATCAAAGCCGTTGACGTGAAAGCCTTAAGCCCAGCATTCAACGCAGTTGGCCAAAGAAGAACGTGTTCAGGATTTGGCCAAAGAAGCTCTCTCTCTCTCTCCATCTCCCTATCTCTTGTGCTCATCATTGTTGTTGTGTTCATGTTTCGGTGGCAATCTCTGCATTTGTTTGCTAATGCACTTGAGTAGTGCTTACATGCTTTCAAATTTGTTGCACGTAATGAATTGTCAGCTAGTTTAATGCTTCATTGCATCTAATGGAAAGAGGGATTACACACTACAAGTACAAACAAAACGAACTGCAAGGATAGAATATTGTAAGCAGGATATGAGATTCCAGTGTGCCAGATAGATGGATTGGCAAGACAGGCTGACACCTTTAGTGTAAACAGTAGATTTACAAACGCAGGCTCTCGCCTCAGATAATAAAGACGAAATTAAAGACAAGAAAAAGTACATGGAATATTGATTATGAAAAGAGTATAACATGTTGTTCAATAAATGAGCTTAAATAAATGATAAATAATAATTCGCGATTTTCAATCAGAAATAGAGAAACAATAACAAAAATAAAATGTACTTAATTTTAAATAACTTAAGCTATAAGTGGGAATCGGGGGAGGAATCTGCTCCCCGAAACTGTTCACCTCTCTGCTGATGACACCTATTCCCAACAATTGTTAACTATAATGGCCGACTTACCCACGGATAATCGGACAGTCAAGCGGCACTTAAGGCACTGGATTTTAATATAAAAACCGTCCTTACCGTCCTATTGGGTCAGTGCTAGCCTCATATGGGTACCAGAACAGAGGAACATTGCGAAATAACCACCGAATGGTTGAAAGGAGATCCAAAAAACCAAGCCACTGATCCACAAAACAAAACTACAAAAATCACTTTACTTTTTCAAAATCAATTAGTTTGAGATATCGTAAGTGGGGTGAGGAAAATGATAACCAAAAAAAGAAGTTTTCCATTTCCCATTTTAGATTAAACGTTCTTTTATTTCTTCCAAGTTTTTCCTCCCTATGTGTTTTCATTGAAGTTGTAAAATGTTCATCAATTTTTATTTGTTATCACACGACAGAAATAATTGTTAAATTTATCATGTTTCGGCAGTTTCGCACAGCATGAAAATCTTTATTAAATTTTCTATGTGGCTAGCTGGCCAGTTTATTGGTACCACATGTGGTATGAGTAATTACTGACAACTAACAAATTGCTGTCAACAAAGCAAACACGTCACTGAACGCCTCAGAGCAATTAATAATTTTCACATCAATATTGAAGGAGGGAAGGAAAATCCTTTGACGCTCACCACATTCCACACAAGTGCCGCACAAATTGTTGCGACGTGTTTTTTCTGCACATCTTGTAAGTTTGTCTGAGCCTGGCCGAAGGCGACAACAAACATAATACAGGAAAACAGGCATGCCCTTTACATAATTGGAAACGCTTTTCATTACAGCAAGCACAGGACAAATGAAAATCGATAGACGATGTCCGTTGTTGTTACTGGTTTGAGTAATTAAACACAATCAAGTCACACTTTTCCACTTTTCCATTAGTCCAGATTCTCCCATTTAATGGGGACTGGACAGGGGAGAGGACTTTGTTTTTAATGAAAATGTGCTCCGGCTTGCTTCTGTGGTTATTTGTCTTTGGATTTGCGAAGAGCGAGCAATAAATTTTTATTGAAAGCAAAATAATAGCAGCACAACATGCCTGGGAAAGAGTTGTTTAGATGAGCCACCCACCCACCCGCCTGTCTGCCTGCCTGCCTGCCTGCAGACGAGCTTCCCTGTTGGTTAAAACAAATCCAAAGTCGTGTTAATCCACACGCACAAATCAATTTACTGCCCTGTCGAATAAAATAGTAGAAGCCAACCGAATAGAGCTGGCCAGCAGCAGCGTCTGTCTGCTGGACCACAAAATGGAGCTATAAATAAGCGGTAATTGGAAGTGATGAACGAAAGGATATGTTGCTGGTAGAAAACATTCAGCTCCCCACCGCAACAGCTATTGCCCCACCCGACCGACCCTATTATGGCTTCTATGTGCCACCAGCTGGCTTCAGGTTGGTTGCTGGCTTACTTAGTTCTCTGTTGGCCATGTTCGCCGACTCGAGCGCTAAACCAATTTCGTGAGCAGCCAAAATCTCTAATCAAATGTCAATACTTTATTCAATAAAATAAAAACATATACTTACTTGCCGTTTGCTTGCTTTAGCTGCTGTGCGAAAAGAAATATAACCATAGAGTAAATCTTTTTACGACTTCGATGTGCGCCACGAATGCTTTTATTGTCGATAGCAGTGGACGGAATAAGCCATTAAATGTGCTTTGAGCCAATTATTACGCGCGATTTATGCTTTTTTTCGTGTTTTTTTTTTTTCTTCTTTTCTTGTTTGTCAACAAAGTTCGGACAACATGCACTTCCACCTATAATGGCCAGGAGGGGGCTCTGTCTGTGTATTAGTGCTGGTGGTGTTCAACAAGCGTGTAATGCCCCACAGAAGTGGTTGGGTGGTTGGATGAGTGGCTGTGGGTGGTGGCTGGCGTGCAAAATCAAAAGATAAACATGCATAATTGATTGTAAATCATAAAGTTGTTAAACTCGTGTGCTCCTAGGGTTATTTTGTTCGGTTTTATTGCTCTTATGGCTCAGTTTATTTGCTACGACAACAAGAACAATTTTTGGTATGTGGAACAGGAGGCATGTGAAAATGCCAGCTAGGCTTTCAGTTTAATGAAATTGTTGACCTAGCCATGGGTCTCACATTGAACATTCAACATCACATTAAATTTTGCAACAATTTCACATGCTTTTCTAGTGAATTGAATTCAAAATTGTTGCACGCACTTTTTATATAAATTTGTATGATTTCTTTTAAAACAAGTTTTAATCAACGAAAATACCTGGTGGCTCTGTTTCTTTAAGCAACTTAAAGCATCTTACAACAACTGATATGCCAAAATATAATTATATTTACAAACCGTATGTCTGATTTTATTTCTTGAAAAGTTAAGTTTAAGAGACGAAGACACCGGACTCTGCTTCTTCAAAAACTCATTACCTTTGTTTTTCAAATTACGGCAAGAAAAAGCGCTTCTTACGAAGAATGAAATGTCAAAATAGGATTATATTATTTCATGAAAAGTGAAGTTTAAGCAACGAAAATATCTTGGCTCTGCTTCTTGGAACAACTTATTAGCTTTGTTGTGAAACTCACTAGTAAAAGCACATCAAATGTCAAAATAAAATTATGAATTAATTATTTCATAAATGCACCCTTGAGGATTTTTAAAATTGAGCTCCCCCGATGAGTATAATCTCTGAGGCTGCGCCTTTATTATCTACAACTGAAGGCCTATCGGCGATCGTTGTCACCAGCTTTTGAATCACATCTGGTGTAATATTCTGCCATTCATTCCACAGTACCTCTCTAAGGTAATTTGTAAGCTAACAATATTTAAAATTTCTAGATAAACAAATAAATGTTTGATAATTGCATTCCTAAATTTGCTTAAAGGAAGAAGCCCATCATTGCCTCTGTCAATTTTTTCCCACAAATGAAATAAATTTGAAAAATCTTTATTTAATGACTTTTTGCCTGTCCATAACTACAGGGTGCGCCATCTTTTATGTCGGTATGTAAACATTGAATATCGTTGAAAGTAAACAACCGATTTTCAAGTATGAGTTATTTTTATTTAATTTGGTTCTGTACAATTTCTTGAACTGAGGTTTTCAACACTGGTCTACTCAAGTCAATCGGTTCACTAATGACAAAGTTATTCAATATTTACATACCGACATAAAAGATGGCGCACCCTGTATTTAACATCATTTCATTTGTTTACAATACTTTTAGCCTAACTTAACAGTTTGCTTCTTCAGCTCACAAATAATTTAAGCAAGCCAAACCCACTATTTTTCATATACTCGTACTTCTTATATTTTTAAGCCTCATTTAATTTTTGGCAGAAATTTCTTCAGTCACTCTATGCTCGCATTATAAACTCATATATGTCTAGTTTTAATTGCTCTCTAGTTTTAAACTACTTTAATTAGTTTTGTTATTTCTTCGGCCTTTTTTAATTTATTCTTTCATATTTTTTCTCCCGTTTATTTTTAGCACAAGAATCTGCGAAAAATGATAATAATAAACCACAAGGTAATGCCGATATTTTAATGCTTAGTTGTGCTACGTAGTCTTTATAGATTTAGTTATAGATTTATTAGCTTTATAGACTAGACTAACACTGCATGCAAAACAAAAACAACAATAGGCACATGATGTAGACACTTTTAATGGATTTTGTTTTAATAGCTATATGGACAGCAATTTAAATGACAATATATTATGCATGGTAGCTTTTTAAATGTCATTAAAATGCTGCCTGGCCGGCTATCTATTTATTATTGTTGTTGTTATTGTTGCTCTTGCTGTTGCTGTGATTTCCCAGCTTGTCTTTGTCGCAAATGCAAGCGACAGCTTAAAAGTAATGACAAAACTCAGCAGGTTATCATTTTCTTCATATTGAGACGTTTTTGGGAGCAGACAAAGCGAAAGTCTAAGCAGCAACTTGCTCGTAACCTTAGCCCAGAGTCTGGGCCCATGATGTGCAATATTCGAAAATCCCAGCGCCATTCCAAACTGTCTGTAAATGCCTGCACTCGCCTGCCATGCCTTGGCCTTCGCTTTTAGCCTTTTTGTTATCATTTTTGTAATTGAATTCTACAACAACACAATAAATTTTAGACAGCAAACATCGAGGAGATAGGGCAAGAGTTTTGGGGCAAGAGCTGCCAAAATATGCAGACAGCAGCCCAAGCGATGCCTTGGTTTCGCCGTTTGGTTTGGGCTGCAATGTGGTTTAAGGGATGAAGGATGCAGGATGATTTGAAGCTTGTGGGGGTGCAGTAAAAAGAGAAAATTTAATTTCTTGCCTGAATAATAAATCACAAACATAACGGCGGGTTGAGTGAACAAAAACACAGTCACATAAAATGCACACACACACACACACCTACACACCTATACTCGAATACCCGTGTATGGAGAAAATTGAGCGCCCACTTGAACGTTGGGTGCTGGAGGCATTCCCCTGCTGCGGACTGAACTTTATTTGGCATCGAACGTCCACAGATAAAACGACGGCCGCACCGTGGACGAGCAGCTTCAAAAATCTTGTTCCACTTCAATGCACAGAAAATGTCATTGCTATTTAATTAAGAATGTTGGGAAGTTTTCCAAATTAACGAAATCTAACCGAAGAACAGATTGAATTCGAAGTGCATTTTACTTTAAGGGCTTCAATTGAAAGTATTGCTGTCTCTGAAATTTGCTTGCTCGGACTATGCTTGAAGAAATGATCGACAAGATCACGAATTTTATGGAAATATTAAATATTGTCAACCACTTTGTTTCAACAAATTTGACAAATGTAGACAACGGGAATAGTTCTTAATAAAAATCAAAAGTTTAAAAGCTAAGGAATATCTTAAAAGTTAACAAAATTCCAATTTGTAAAGCTTTTTGAACTGAAACTTCTTATGTGAGGATTTTGAATGCTGAATCGGCAATCTTTTCTGTGACGAAACCAATAGCACGGTAACAGGCCATATATCATGGTAAACTAAACTTGCAATGCCTATTTATGCCTATTTAATACGACTTGATTTAAAGAGTCGCCATTTCTTGTGGTTTTCAGGTTATCCAAGAATATTTTTAATGCGAAATAGAACTGCGTTTTCTGAAGCTCTTGAAAGCTGGATTGGAAACTATTGTTTACCGCAGGAATTCTATCGATACTTATCAGGTTTTATAATCATTTATAGCGGTGCTTCTAGCCATTTTCTAATAGAATTTCTTTCTATTTTTAGTGAGTTTTTGGAACAAAAATTCGGACGCATTTTTTAGCAGTTTTGCTACCTTTTCTCGAGCTACTTTTAATATTTTTTAATAGTTTTCTAGCTCGATAACCATTTTTGACCCATTCTTTTCAAGCCAAACTTAATAATAGTTCAATAATAATTATAGATTTAAAATAAATTAACTCAAAATAAATAATTTCAATACAACTACAAGTATTTAGTGTCTCCCTGACACACAACTTTTTTTTTTTAATTCCTCATTTTTATCGTCGAAATTCAAATTCATTCCACTGCTGGCTTGCAGTTTTATGTATCAGTTCTGCTAACCGAGAACAGTGCTCGCAGTCCTCTGTTGGCCAATTCGAAATGCGTTGCCAATGTTACCACTCGCGATTGGACCAACAGACTAACGGAACTTGGCGACATTTTGTGTGTTGCAGAATTTATCAAAATGGCGTTTCCGTTGTTTTCGTTGTCGAAAAAAAAAATAAACCAAACCAAATGAAACCGCTGGCATATGCCAAGCTTCACTGCCACTTGGCAAACGAAATGTCTCTGGTCTCTATCCCCATAGATGCTGCCCTCGACGGCCACTCCCCAGCTTCCAGCTTCCCGCTTCCAGCTCCCTACTCCCAACTCTCGTTCTGCTTCGTTGCGTTTGCTTTGCATAAATACACAAATTTTGGGGCTCAGTTTTTTTGCTTGCTTTTTATGCCTGGCGGGCGCATTGCAAAAGTGTCGCTTTATTAAATTTTTACGCAAATGTGTGACACGCGCATATGAATAACAATAATACATACGGGTACTATACAAAAAAGAAAACCTCATGCAACATAGTGTAGTGGCAACAACAGCAGCAACAACAACAATAATAATAATAATAAAACAGCAAGCGACGAGGCTTGCCGTCCGGAGCCTTATGCAAATGAAAAGTAAAACTTTTATGCGCCACTAGTCGGTGGTGGGTGTGCGTGAGTGTGTGTGTGTGTGTGAGTGTGAGTGTGTGTGTGTGTGTGTGTGTGTGTGTGTGCCACACATTTTGTGCGTGTGCCTGGATGTGTGGCAGTAACTACTGTGCCACTCATGCAACAAGCTGGCAGCTCTCGAATTGGCGCGCATTTCATTCTGTGATTTTATATCTGCCACAAACGAAAACAGCAACCATAAACCAAAAAATAAAAAGCATTTGCTCGTAAGAGGCAACCAACACAGAGTTGCAGAGTTGCGACTGGACTGGACAGGGTATGCAAAATTTGAGCCTTGAGCAAACACACACACCCACGCACAACACTCATAAATATTGTTGCAAAGCCAAAAACAAATAGTCAACAGAAATTACAATAATATGGAATAATGCAAAAGACCAACAAAGACGGCCGCCAGACACATGAGTATCCAGACGCATATGCATAAATACCAGAAACACAAATTCAAACCACCCGACGAAAACCAAAAACCTGAAACTTACAACTTTCAATTAAAAATAATTTGCAAAACCTTGCTGCTTACTTCTTATAATTCCCAGCTAGTTTTAACCTTTGCTTTAAATTAGTAATGCAGTCGATTCCACTACTCCTTATTTTACGTTAAGTAAAGTTTATTAGTCTTTTAGGTCTTAAAAGAAACAAGAAGGGAATATGAGAGTGGAGCAGCCCTAACTATTAGGTTCAATCCATCCCGAGAGTTATCGAAAGATCATTAATAGCGGTGCAGTGGTGGGGCGCTTCAGGCAAAATAAAATAACTTGACCTGCTTATAGCTTTCAGGAATATGTACTCAAAGTTTAGCAGTTCTATCTCTTAAGCAGACCAGGATAATTGCGTTCATACAGTCGAACAGAGAGACAGTCATACTGATAAAAAGGAATTGGTTTATTCTTTGTGGTTTTTGCCACGTCTCCCTCTGTATGTTACATACATTTGCACTTAACTAGTATGCACATTCTGTACAGAGCATAAGAAATATGTATTTTTTCAATTTCTATTGAAAGCGTTAAATAGTAAATATATATTTATTTTTTATGAAATCAAATATCAATATTTAATACAATATTTTTTTGAATAAAAATAAAATTGTATTCTTCTTATTCTTATTCTTCTTAAAATATAATTGTAATTTTTAGAAATTGCAAATATTTCTGCTTAAAAATGATAATTAAATTCAAATAGAAGAAGAAATTAATGTTATAAGAATTTCAATATCCTCACTTCTTTCCCATCTAAAAAGCCCCCCCTTCTCTAAATCTTCTCCAAATCCATCTGTGCGTCTGAGCGACTATCCTAATCCAAAGAATAGGTTTAAATCTGCCAAATTAATTAAACTTTAACTTAAAATCCGACATGCATATGGAAAATATTCTTCGTCCGCTTTTGCGTATCCTTCCCAGTAGTTGTATATTTTGTAAATGAATTCGTTTTCGTTCGCTGGGTGGATATGGCGGCAGAGGGCCTCGGGGAGGACCGCGAGCGACGCACTTCAGTCAACTAGTCGCCCTCCCATATGTGGCCAGAGCCTCATCACCAATCGCAGTGTTTGCATTGTAATCGCATGTGCGTGTACGTTTGGGTGTGTGTGGACGTGTGTGTGTGGTAGTGGGCGCAGCTTTAAGTCACAGCAGGACGTGACATCCTTGCATAAAATTTGCATAACTGTATCAACAAGAGAGAGCTGCCTGGTAACAGCAGCGCTATGCCAGCAGCAGGATACCCAGAAGCGGTGACGACGGCCGCGTCCGACTCGCCATTTTTATCATATCCGTTTTTTATTGTTCACTCACTGCATTTTCTCTTGTTTCTCTTGTTTTTTCACTGCTCTTGCATAATTTCCATTGTTTTCATTTTACTAGCAAATTTGTGTCTGTTTTTGTTGCTTTTTCCCCTTTCTTTCTTTTTTTTTTTGCCACGCGTTATGTGTTTTTTATGTTTTAGTTGTAGCTGTTTCCTGTCCTGATTTTCTGTTTGCATTTCAAGTTTTTTTGCGTGAAAGATTTTTGTGCCAAAAGTAATGCAAGTTGACAAAAAGTTGCGACAAACTTATATTTTTATACAGAGACCAGCGCAGCAAATGTAGGTGTTGGGTGTTGGGAGAAGGAGGAGGAGGAGGATATCCTGCTCTAACTAACTTGACGTATTATTTTATTTGGGTAAAACATTAAGAGGAAAAAACGGCCTTAAATAAGCAACAATAATATGAATAATTCAACAGCATTTTAAATAATTTTAACCTCTGGCCAGTAATTAAAGATTCTGCGGAAGGAGAATTAAACATAACAGTTCTTCAACAAATCTACAAAAAGTAACATTTGGTCTGTTCAGTTCCTTTACCTTTGACCCAAAGATAGTGCTTATTTATAGCACTATTCAAGAGACATATTTCCAAATTTGTCTGATGATGAAATATAAGTTATACAAGGACGTGAAAACAATATACTTAAATAAATACGATTGCTGGCACAAGTCATATTAGTGTTTTCAATAAATTATTAAATGCGCTCATTCAGAATTCTCAATACACCCCCCTTATATATATATATATATTTATCGACGTCGTATATCGCACTGTTTCGATAAATGATAATGATTTTTATGAGCAAACAATGTCGGGCATAAACATTTCCAATGCTGCCAAATGACTGAGCGTTCCTCTTGCTCCTTTTCTGCTTTTTAATATTTTTGCTCTCTTTGTAAAACACATAACATTCGATTTTAGAACCCAGAAATATATACTATATGTATCTGTATGTATGTATGTATGTACGCCCTCACAATTTTCAGCGCCAACATTTTGCGAGACTTTTCTGCCTGTCGCTTCGTTTTTCCAATTTTACAAGCCACTTTTCCAATGCTCAGTCAATTTTGCAAATCAAATGCTTAGGCTATAGTCATTCCCATTTACTTTTGCTTTTGTTGTTCTAGCTGTTATGTTGTAGTTGTGGTTGTTGTTCTTGGCACTGCCATCAAACTGTTGAAGTGCTCAGCACACTGCCAAGTGCCACCCACTTGTGCAGTTTTCTCAAAAATCTCCACCACTTCTCCATTCTTCTTATTTTCCCCGTTGCCTAGACAAAACGCGCTTCCAATGTCTGTCTGTCTGGGTGCTTTGAAAAATTTTTTATTGAAGTTTTTCTCTTTTATTTTCTTCATTTATGGCACATATTACGAATTTAATCGTCGACAGCATTTCCAAATAACGAGCGCACATTCATATCTATGTCAGATATATGCCATATAGACGCGTTTCATGCTGGATTAGCTTTGAACAAGCAGCCTCGTCCTCGCCCTCGCCCTCCACACCCACATCCCGATCCTTATCCATCCTCAATGTCTTTACTGTCTTCATTCTGCGCTCTTGTCGGCCATTATTTTGTGCCGCTTTATAGTTATACGAGTAAGCCCAGAAGTTGTGCTTCCAACTTTTTGCTCCTTTTTCCTCCAAATCAGCTGCTGTTTAATTTTTAATTTTTATGTTTGCAATTTTTCTTATTCTCGTAACTGTGTGGAACATCTTGTGAGAGCGCGCATATTAAATTTTTTATTATTTTCTTTTTATACTGCGTTGGGGAGGCGTGAAACCAGCATTTGTGAGTGTGGGAGTGTGTGTCTGTGTCCTTGCTACCTGAACAAGTTGATAGGCTTTGGAATTTTATTTTTGTCTTACTTGCTTTTCGCCTGTGTGTGTTGCTGTTGTTGAGGCCGAAAGAACAATTTCAACAGCACTGTCTGATTGAGTTCGAAAAGATAAAGAGGGTGGACTTTAGAAACAAAAGCAAATCAAGTTAAATCGAGTGCTTCCCTCGCTCGGCCTTTGGCAAATATCAAGTTGTTTAAGAGACAACTTTAAAAGGCACTTCAAAACACGTTCAACTCTCGCAAATGCTGTAAGCACGCATGACTGCCATGGCAACACACACGCACACACACACATACACCTATATTAAGTCTCACAAATGCTCACCTCTTCACACACATACTCGTGTAGTTTATAGAGGGAGCTCTGCTCTGATGCGCTCTCAGTAACAAAACCAATCTACGAGAAGTGCAACTGAAGCTGAGCTGCAAGCAGCCTGCCTGCAGGTAGAGCTGTTACAACTTTATTATATAAATATTTCAATAAAAGCACACACACGCACATACATATATATGTATGTATAGTCGGACAGCATTACCAATGCATCTGGCACCCTCCTATTCCCCAGGTGGTGCTCGCACAGCAGCAACATTTGCCAAAAGCAAACATAATTTAAAATGTAATTAGTGCTCAAATAGAAAACCAAATAAACAGAAGCCACAGCCCAGACCCAGCACTCTACCACCAGCACAATCCCCATCCCCATTCCAATGGCAAATGGCAAATAGCAACTGCAGCGGCAGAAACACATTTAAAATGATACTCGCAGCAACCAACGTTTGGCATTGGGCGGGTCGTCGTCGTCGTCGTCGTCGTCGTCGTCGCGTCGTGGCAATGCAAACAAATTGCAAGCCAAATGAAAGCGGCACCACAGTTGGTGGGTGTTGCCCCCAAGTCAATGAATATCACCAGGTTACTAGGTGACCCAGTGCCGAACCGCGCCCTGGACCCACAAACACACCCACATGCACCTGCCGTACACACTGAACTGCACTGCAGACCTGTGCTCAGCAAAGCACAGTGGATTACTTTTGGAATTCATATAAATATTATCAGAAGAAGTGGCTCATGCTCATGAGCAGATTGTGTCAACTCAGCACTGATAAATAGGAGCAACTGTGCTGCTCATGAGCAGATTGAGCAGCCCATTCATGCTCATGAGCAGATTGTGACAACTCAGCACTGATAAATAGGAGCAAGTGTGCTGCTCATGAGCAGATTGTGACATTGTGGGCATTCAAAACTGAGCTCACCCTTTTTTGCTCACAAGTTGCTCTTGGGCGTTAGCCATTCGTGAAGCAATTTTTCCGAATCCTGAATATATGTAATCGCATATGCTGCATTTAGTTGCAAAGGAGTCATAATGCTGTCGTACGTCAAGCTCTATATTATCCAAGCGCTTCCTGTTTAGACAGAAGCTCATTTGATTAAAAATCTTTCTTCATTTAAGTTGTTATAGCTGCATAATATTCTTTATATACACAGCATACATCAAGTTTAGAAACTTAAGCTAAATTTGATAAATTCCTTGATAGTCGCTCAGGGTCTCCACACAAACTTGTGGCGATATTTGTGGTGGCCACTAAATTAAAATGTATCTGCAAATTTCTATGATTCATGTAGTAATTCAAGTAGAAGATCAAGAAACTGCTTATATGAGGACTATTTTATTTTCTTTGTCGGCTTTTATTATGTTTTTTTAAAATTTGATAAAACTTGAGAAATCGTAGAAATTACATTTCTTTTAAAACTCTAAATAGGTTTACTTTAATCTATAATATCGTCCAACTTAGGGTCAACACTTTTCAAATTCCATTCAAATTTTGCGAAAAAGAATGAACAAATTATTGCTTAATAAAATGTAAAATAATCTAGAATGTAGATTGATCGTAGTCGCATCCATTTTAAAATGATCTTAATTTTGGTACCTGAAGTATGAAGAATCAGCTGGCAGCTACTTCAAAGCAAGTTCGCTGAAGTTTGTTCATATTATCAAAACCTCGTCTACTAAAACTCTCATAATTTTCTCGTCTTAGGTAAAATATAAATTTGGAACACCCTTTTTCTGTTTCTTTTTAAACGAAATTTCAAAAGGAGTTCGAAAAGTTCTTCTTCGAAATGTAATTGACAATTTGAAACACATAGAACAATAATTCGATGCAAGTTTGATTTTTTTTAATTTTTCATGAACATGTATTTACGAGTTTTATCCTTTTATGTATCTGATTAAAATAAAAGTGAAAAATGAAAAGACTCAAATGCGGACAATTTTAATTTTAATTTTGTCAAAAACACCAACGATTTCAAAATTGCTTCAAAATTTATGAGACTGTGACACTGTGCACTGTGTGTGTGTGTGTGTGTGTGTGTGTGTGTGTGTGTCTGTCTGGTGCATATTCATTGCAGGAGCAGCTGGCGCTGCAAAACTTTGTCCTAGACCAACTTTTGCAGTTGTTGCAATGTTTGTTGCCTTTGCCATTGCCGCTGTTTTTCTTTTGAAACATTTTATTATGGCACAATATGCTGGTTGTTGGTTGCTGCTCCTCTTTTTGCCTCGTCGCTAGTCATTCACAGTGCTATTTACTCGACCGTGTTTACATGGCACATTTCAACAGCTCGTTGTGGCTTGGCTTCGTATTTATCCAACAAACGGATACGAAGGCTTCAAGGTTGCCAAAGGAATGAACTCGATATTTGGGCCTCTCATCAACCTCGTCATAATAATCATCATAACCATCATTACTATCAGGATTACTGTATTGATGATGGCCGCATAATGAGCACGCTATATATACATACAAGTGCTTTATATATTTCTCTGTTATTTTTTTTGGGCAGTTCATTAAAATTACAACAAGGAAAGCAGCAAAAGTTTTTGCTGTTCATTATGCAGATTTCTGCAGAATTATAGCCGAGTGGATGCTGACAAAGTGCTAACAAAAATGCGTTTGTTGTTGCTGTCGTCGTAATTTACAGAGCTCAACAAGCGTTTGCCATTTGTCGGCTTATGCTTGTTGGCTGCACAAGCGGGCCTTCTTTGTTCGTCGCCCACTTCCACGAAGCCACGAGCTGTACAACTCTCTGGCACTAATTTAAAAATTAAAGTGGAGGACTAAGCAGTTGCGGCTGCACTCCTACAACTCATTAAGTTGGTGGACAGGCGCTTACCTTTTTCCTTTTGACATTTCCATTTCCATTTCTATTCTACTTATTTATGTACTTAGCTGTGTTTGTACCTTTGTTTGTTTTATTGCACAAAGGCGCCTTGTTTAACCATTCCCTTCTACTTTTTCCTTTTGTCCTTGCAGACTGGCGCAGCACGGACAGCACCGACCACCATGATCGCGTACAGCGACAATTGTCCGTTTCATCTGACAGCAAGTTGCTGGACGAGGAACTTCGGGAGGAGATGATACCATACAATTCGCATGTTGTGATGCGTCCAAAGAAGCCGCCCAGACCCAAATCGGAGGTGTATCTGAATAAACAGGATCCACATCCGCGCAGGAAACGTTTTAGTGCATTTGGTGTAAGTACAAGCAAACAAATAACAATAAGAAAGCTGGAATGTGGCGTTTAATTTTGTGTTGCATACTTTTGGGCGCTTTTTTTCACACAAAGTCTCTTAAAATTCACAACCAGTTCGTGCAGGCGCTGGTGGAACTCCTGCACACTTGCAAACAAAAATTCGAAAATTTTTAAATCTCTTTGTAATTTATCCTGGTGGGACCCTTTGTTTCGGCATCGAGTGTTCCCGAAGTAAATTAATTAAACTAGTGATTGGGTTGAGGCGCATTAATTGTTCATGTGCGTGTGGTTTGCAAGTGGCAGCGGTGGTGCCAACTTTTAAACATGGAGTGAAAGGAAATATTGTTTTTAAGCCATGGTGAACATATATAAGCCCTAGCCTAGCACAAGCAAAAAGAAGAAGAGCGAAATTGTTGCTGCAGTTTGTGGGGGTCGTAGTCCTTTTTATCCTCCGGGTAGAGGGTATAAACATATTCAACACATACATACATGTGTTTACATTTATGCATAATTTAGTGTTGCATTCTTTTGGACGCTTTTTGCACACAAATTCTCTTGAAATTCACAACCAGTTCGTGCAGGCGCTGGTGGAGCTCATGCATACGTGGAGCAAAACATTTGAAAATATTATTTCTCTTTGTAATTTATCCTGGTGGGACCCTTTGTTTCGGCATCGAGTGTTCCCGAAATAAATCAATTTCACGATTAAGTGAAGTAGTGGTTAGGCCCAAGGACATTAATTCGTTGAGGTTTGTCAGAGGCAGTTAGATGACACTCAAAAAAGGAGGGGGAGGATTAGTTGCGGAATTCCAATTTAACCCAAAAAAAAAAAGCCAACGAAGTAAATACAGTGAAAACTCCCTTAACGGACATCTCTTTTATCCGGACACTCTCTTCGGCGGACATATTTTTAAAATATTCCATCGGTGTATTAAGTATTCCCTTAAGCGGACACTCCCCTTGGGAGGACAAAAATTGGAGAGTTTTCACTGTAATTTTAATTATTGACTTAAATATAATTGTTAGAAAGCTTCATTTTCACTGCGCATTATTTTCTGGGATACATAGACTGATAGTTTATTCAATTGATCCTGCTTGGAAACCATGTCATCGGAAATGAAAACAATTATTTTAAAAGCAGTCATTGTTCAGAAACCATTCTGATGAAACGAAAATATTATTGTCAGCCGACGAGCAACAATAATTTCAGATTTTTAATTGAAAATATAAAATGTGAGTTTTGTTAATGTTGGTCATGAAAACCACACCCGCTATGGTAATTAATTTTATTTTAAAAACTTTTTAATTGCCGCTGATGCCATTTTTATTTTTCTCACATTACCGAACAATTAATTACAACTTGACGTCTATTCTTTTTTATTGCACCCAACAGGGCGACTCACCATTTGGCAAGCAGGAGGCCTACGTCAAAATGGAACCGCTCGGTGAAGGCTCCTATGCGACAGTCTACAAAGGATATAGCAAGTAAGTAGTGACCCACACACACACACACACACACACACACACACACACACGCACATGCACACTCCCATAAATAATGATGCTGTGCGCTGCAAATTGGGTTGCCATGTCAGTGGGTTAAGCAAAAATTGTTGTTGTGGGCACCAAAAACTTTACACACAGCAAGGGCTCATGAATTTTGACTGACGGCCAGACAACGAGCAGCAGAGCATGGTGGGGGAATGGAGGGAGGGAGACGAGTGTGAGCATTGCCTAAATCAAATTCTTTTTAGGCACAATGTGCGACAACGTTGATGGCCGTCGCCGCCATTTTGTCTTGATTTATTTAACAAGTTTTTCATGCCGCCGCGCAGTGCCATTTGCCATTTCTTTTCGTTACGGAGCTGGGCTCGCTCCCACCATCATAGTAGTAGTGCCAGGCTCATTTCCCATGCAGCCGACAACTCGACACACTCATTACAGTCACAGGCACAGTCCGAGAGAGAAAGTCGCATGCAAATGTGGCAATCAATCACGAGGACGGAAGGCTCGGGCCTTTTGGTTGCGCTGCATCAGCAGGAAGAAACGGGGAAAAGCATAGAAAATGTCACAAAAGGACAACAACGGGTAAAAGTCAGTGGCAGTAACAGCAGGAGCAGCAGCAGTAGCAACAACAACAACAATACTATATAGAAACGATAACAAATCGCTGTCGCCGCAGTTGTGCAGCGCCCCATTTTCCCCTTTGTACTCGTACTGATATGGCGTTGTAGCTACAGTTCCTATACACTTGGAGAAATAAAAGACTAATTTCAACTTTCCATGTGGCCAGAGTTTCGATGTACTTAGTACAGATTTTACAAGCATTGATGAAGATGGCTTTAATTTGCTTCAAAATTGTACTCAAGTATTATGAAGAAAGACAAATGCACAGTTTATAGAAAACCAAGCAGATGCCGAATACATATTTTAAAATTTGTTTGAATTAAAGAAAACTTTTTGTTCTTCAGCATAGTTTTTATGTTCGATTTTCTCGGAGCTAGCTGAAACTCTAAATGATTCGTTTCAATTATTTTATTATTTTCCTGTTTCAAGTACGTTTGTTTTTTCAATTACTGTGCATTTTTAAAGCCTTATACTTTTATTCTGAAGTGAAGTTAAGGAGGATTACCAACATTGTGGCGAGCTTCAGCTTTGTGGAAGAAAGGATCACAGTATTCGAAGCAAGCTTCCTTATTTGAGGCTTCACTCGAAAGCATCGAAGGCATTTGATGACTACAGTAACCATTAACTTTCACAGAATGCATATACACCTCATGATAAGAAAAATCAAATCATAGCTGCGGTAACTATATATTTTTGGGACAGCCTGGCGTGGTTATCGTACAGGAGGTTAATTAGTTTACCTTTTGGCGAAATCTCCCTGTCCCCCTCAAACTACTGCATAGATGCAACCAGGACATTCCGTCCACTCTCTGGTACGTCAGTCTGGTTGATGTTTGTTTGTATTACGGCCATTGCTATGAGTCCAATGTTTTACTACGCCCCCGAAACAAGCAAATAACTTGCACACACAACTTTGTCTTATTATTTATTGTAGTCAAAAAACAACAACAAAACAAACTTTTCTACAACAACAATCATAACTTTTCATGGCCCTACTCTTAATTTCCATGCCCGGTCGTCAGTCATGACTACAGTCTACTTGGCAGTCATATTTTGGACTTATTAACATTTTGAGTGTATTTCTATGCGCTTTCTCCAAGTGTAGCTTCCTTACTAGCTTCAACACGCACTTTTCAAGTTTGTTCGAATTTTCCTTTTCGCTCGCCGCCTGACATAGTTTCATTTCCGTTCAAATTTTGCTCCCTTTTACCAACATCCTTGTCGTTGTTTTTTTTCAATTTTTTTTTTTTTTTGTGGGACATGGTGCGTTTGCTTAACACAATTCCCTGTTATTCAGTTAGTCGTGGCCCTTTAATTTCTGCCAACTAGCTACCCTACTATTTATTTATACGACCCTTCCTTCCGTGCTTCCGCCTACAAATGTTACCTCATTTGCGCCTGGCTGCTTTGATTTTGGATGTCGACAAAGGCGGGCCCCTGAGCGCCTCGTCGCTCTCATAATTTGACAAATGAGCAGGGGGGGAATTTGCTTTCGGTGGCTCGCGTCACATAATCTTCACCTTTTTGACAGCAACGCCTAGGTCCGAACTTAACCCCCCACCTGCTCCCAGGGCGCTCATACCTCTCTCTCTGGCAGTTGTCAGTTGCACAGCTTCAGAGTCCTGGCTGTCTGGCTGGCTGGCTGCTTGTTTTGATTGTTGTTTTTGATTTATTTGACAATCATTTACACGGCTACACTCCCTCCTCTGATTTGCCTGACAACAACAATGGGGTGTACGTGAAAAAACAACAACAAGAAGAACAAGAAAGAAAGTGGTTTTTCTTTTTGCCACCCAAGTCGTGCCACAGATCCGGCGCTCATTTCGTATGCAACGAGCGCACATGCGAAATGAGTTCCAATTAGCTTTTGTTATTCGAAATGCAATTAATTCGCTCTAATTTATCTGCCAAATGAATGTTGTGACCCGCTCACTCACTCACTCGCTCGCTCAGTGGGTGAATGAATGAATGACTGAATGAATGGTTGACATGGCCACAGCTACTTTTGAGCTTTCACTTTTATGGCAACCCTGGCTGGCAGTTGTTTCGCCTTTGTACTTTGCATTTAATTGTCGCTTTTGTGCTGCTCATTGCTGCACTTACTCCTCACGCTCGGCGCACTCTGCTTTTCATACAATCTCGCCAAATTTGGGTCACTTCCTTTTCGGGTTTCTCGAGCTACTGCCCCTCGACTACTCTACAGCTTCTTCTTCTTCTACCAATGCTTAGCCTAATTTGAACAAGATTTATGCGCTTTCTTTGCCATTTTTAGGTTTGTTTTCTTTTTTTTTTTTTTTTTTGGTCTGTTTGGTACAAAATGTGCTTTTCTATAGCTTCACTTGACTTCACTTAACTTTGGTTTGCCTTGGCTTGCCTTTTCCCCTCTTTTCGCCTCTACTAACAGTTCTGGTCTTGTTTGTCAATTGTAAAATTTTCATGAATGATTTCACTTCTATTTGACTTTCGTTTTCCTCATCTTCAGCTTGCCAGTGCCAATTTCCTTCCACTCTCGTCTCGTCTTCGCTTCAAGCCATTTCTGCTTCCTGACTTTACTTATTTTCATCTCTTCTTCTTTTCACTATTCTACCGACGACGTGCTATGCAAACACAACAGTCGAAGGACTGCCGATTCAGCTGCTCAAGAGAGAGAGAGAGAGAGCGAGAGAGAGGGGAAGTGAAATTCTGATTAGCATTTAGTAGGTCAGCTGCCACACACACACACACACACACACACATCAAAGTTCGGGCCCAACAACAACGAGAACAACTTCATTGAGCCATGAAAATTTAAAGTTTTGAGCCACTTGCGCGGGCGCGTTCGAAAAGTTTGGCCACCATTTCAAGTAAATGCCAAGTAAAATCGCATTATTCCTGCATTAACAAGCAAAAGTTCTTAGCCTTACAAATCCACAGAAGCTGCCAATGTTGTTGTTGTCGGCGTTGTTCTTTGGTCTTTGGTCTGCTTATCGCAGAATGCAAGTGTGGCCAGGTTCTCGTCACATGTTGTATCGCTCTTGACAGTTTGTCGCGCCCTCCTAATCTCGCCCTCTCCGACGACCCAGTTGGAAATTAGCGTGCGTCTGCTGTCGCGTAAGCGGCTCTCATACATATTTCATGGCACTTGGCTACAGTTGGAAAACAGAGCGCCAGCTGCTCGTTACATGCAAATTTCACATGAAATTCCATTCGCTCTCTCTTTTTTTTTCGGTTACCGCCGATGTGCAGGATGTGTAAAGACATAAGCTTTTTATGGCATTTTGTGTGAGTGTGTGTGTGTGCTAAAAGGTTTTGAAATAAGTATGCAAAAGAGCTTAATTAATGCGGCGCAAGTATTTAGAGAGCACGAGTCGCTCATTTAACCGTAAATGGCATTACGCTTGCGAGTCACTCGATGAGTCTCTTAATGGGCGAATCAACCAAAGATATCATTAAGGTGTGGTGTGTACTTTCAATTTTATCGTAAAAGTCTGTTCATACGATAAAGCATTATAGATAGGCAAACAAAAAGCGGATAGTCACGCAAGACCGACACTTACACACCCTGCATCCGCCCTTCTCTCTACCACAATCCAAAACGTATGTATAAAACATCTTGTTATACCCAAGTCGGTGCTTATATTTGAATAAACATATCCTTATTTATATCCTTTGCTTTGTAATAAACACAAGTCCTTCCTGTTAGGATTCAAATACTCTATATATGACTACATCAATTCGCCTCTCCTCCTTTGGGTACATAAAGTGTATACGGGTATATAGTTCCAGAAAATACGGAATAATATATGAAAATATTTATATTTTTTATAAATTTATCTGTCAAAGTAGTAAGGGAGGAGGACGGACAGTCATACGAATTGTTTAAAATCGGGTGTGGAGTAGTCAGTGACTTGCCCCGATATAGTCGTTTGGGCATTCAACGATATTTTTTCTCTTCCCTTAATTCCCTTAAACCAATATTTGGTTTTAAAACCAACCACATTTTGAAGGTAGTAATACTCGTATAGTTAGTATAAATAGACATTTTTTAAAAATCCGTGCTTTTATAATTTTTGAAAACCTTTTGAAACTACTTATAAGCACATAAAAACTTTATTGTACCTCAGTAGTGATGAATTATTGGGAAAAGTAGTATTTGTATAAAATATGTATTCTTCATAGTTGTATATAAGAAATAAACGCTAAGTATTCAAAACAGTAACCAAATGTACCCGAATCAACTCAACTAAATATTCTAGTCGTTCTTTCAGCTATTCTATTACATTCAGAACTTAATAAACTTTCTTACTTCATCACTGATTCCCTTTGGAAACTAACTGCCTATCAACAAATATTAGCGAAACCTAAACAAAATACTAACTAATTGTCCATTAACTAACAGCGCGAACGTTCATTAGTCTCGTTATTTGCTTCTTTTTATATACCGACTACTTCCATCGATATCAACTGTCAATTAACCATTGACGTTGCTCCGACGCCATACTGGCATCAAAATAAACTCTCGTGCCACTTAAACTTAGGTGCCTTTTGACACAATCGTGTAGACAAACGTCGACGTCTTCCACTGCTGCGCAGACCATAAAAGTTGGCTAATTTTTCCATGCACTTTGGCGACAGAGTCAACTGTAATCGCTTAAACCTGTTTCTTTATGAAGATGAAGATCCTGCCCCACGTTGGGCGCCATAAAATACACAAACACACCCATACACACAAAATTCCTTATTTAAAGCATTTGGACTGACTGCATTTGTCTGTCTGTCCGTTTGTCTGTCGGTTTGTTCCAATTAGAATTTGCTTGGCAAATTCTGAATTCTGTCTGGCCAAGCGCATAAATTCTCAGAGGCAGCGGCCTGGTGTCAAATAATTTAACCTAATTTGACACTTCAAATGTGCGGCCTTCTTGTGCGCTTGTGTCTGTAACTTCGCTATCTTGGAATGTGTGTGTGTGTGTGTGTGTGAGTGTGTGTGTTTGTATGTGTATGTTATCCTAATTTAAGTGTTGCCTGCCACACATCTCGCTGCCTTTTCTGTAGGGCTTTCTTGGGTTCTCATGGTTTTCCCCACCTCTCCTACTGTTGTTGTTATGCCCGTTTAATAAAGAAGCCTGCGTCCATGTCCATGACTTTCGGCAAGGACAACTCCAGTAAGATAGGTCCTCTTGGTAGGTAGCCTAATGCTTTTCACCTCCCTCACCCTGTCCCTCCCTATGCTCCTGTTGGTTTTTATTCAGCATTACTTTGGCTGGCAACCTTGGGCCTGTGATACCGAGCCCCGTTGTCCTTTCAAAATGGCGACGCATCTGTGTAATTGCCATTTTGGGCTTGCGGTGTTTTTATAGTCCCCGTCGCTGCTTGGGAAAACGTTTTTGGGGACGCACGCTTAAATGCCATTTTGTATTTATTTTATTAATTTCTTTCTCCTCTCTGACTTGTTCGTTAACCCACAGATTAACCTACCAGCGCGTTGCATTGAAGGAGATCAGACTGCAGGAGGAGGAGGGCGCTCCCTTTACGGCAATTCGCGAAGCCTCGCTACTGAAAGAACTGAAACACAGCAACATTGTCACGCTGCACGATATCGTGCACACGCGTGAAACGCTGACCTTTGTCTTTGAATATGTGGTGAGTAGAAAGAGAAGGACGCTTTTCAACAAAGACTGCGAAAGATGAGAAATAAATTCGATATCTAGGTTGTACTGAGGATTTAGAATAGGATTTTGGAAATACATAAATCAACAAAACATTTATTGGTTTCACAGATTATCGAACCTATATAGCACAAGGCTGGTTTTTTCAATGAGTTTTTAGAATCCCAAAATACGAAACGTTTTTTAAAACTTGATTAAAAAATATAAAACTCTTCGTCTGATTTCAAATTTCATATAAAAATTACAAACAATCTAGACTTGACAAACTAATTCAAGTTAGTCTTGATCTAGAAACGGTTTTTGTTTAACTTAATTTCGCGCTCAAATACGGAAAAGTAGCTCCAATATTCGTAAACCAGCAGTATCTAGATATAAAGTTAGATCATATAGATATATATTTTCATAAAGATGTATATTTTCTGCAATGTTCAAAATTAAACTAATTATGAGAAAAGAACCACTAATTGTCATTTCTTGGCTAATTTCGTTGAAATCTTCTGCAGTCTTGTACTAATTCGTCAGATTTCGTCCCAAACTAATGTCCAATTGTGTCGTCCACAGAATACCGATTTATCGCAATATATGGAAAAGCATCCGGGTGGCCTGGATCATCGTAATGTGCGTCTGTTCCTCTTCCAGTTGCTGCGCGGGCTCTCCTACTGCCACAAGCGTCGTGTCCTGCACCGCGACGTCAAGCCGCAGAACCTGCTGATCAGCGACTGTGGCGAACTGAAGCTTGCCGATTTTGGTTTGGCGCGAGCCAAAAGTGTGCCCAGTCATACGTATTCGCACGAGGTCGTTACGTTATGGTACCGTCCACCAGGTGAGTGCGAGTGCAACAAATGCAAATGCCAGAAGGCACCACAAACAGAGACAATTTGCAACTTGACGCAAATGAGTTTGAAAAATACTAAAGAGATGGAGGGAGGGAGGGAGGAGAGTTTGGGAGGAAGATTGCCAAAAGCGCATTAAGTTATTAGTTTGTTTTGCTTCAATCAAGCATGAATGGGGAGAAGCTGCTAAAAAGCCGAAATGTCTGACGTTAATTGAGACATGCACGAAATATTCATTAAGGAGAAAGCTTTGCCAATCAAATGCAGCTTAAATTAATGCCCCCTCCATCCCAGTTCAGCTACTGGAAAACAAGCAAACAATTCATTTTCCACTTTTCTTGCCCCATACAAATTTTCCATCAATTTGCAACGAACGATTTAATTGAAAAAAGAAAGGAAAAACAACACAGAGAGCCAGCTGGTTAGATAGATGGGTGGAAAGATCGTGTGAAACGCTGAGACCAAAAGCGACTCAAAGAAACAAAGTTAATTTTTTAATATGCAATCGCAACGTAAACACTCTCGGCAGTGGCCAGCGGGTCGAAAGGACAAACAGCTGCACGATAAAACAGAATAGAGAGGGCTACGAAAAATATAGTGTACACTCGTACTACACAGCAAGTCATGGTGGCGAGCAGCACAAAGCATGTTAAGCAAATTTAATCTGCACTTCTTGCCAGACATGGACACGGGAACGGACACGGACATGGGACACGGAAACTTTTATGCAAAGCGCCAACGACCAAGGGAATGGGTTGAGTCGAGGGCAGGAGCCTGAAGGGAAGAACTGCATGTGGTCGGTCATGGCGGTGGCCAATCGGGACAAGCTGTGTGCAAAACTTCGTTAGCTGCTGGTCAGAGATAAACCCATCCGTCAGTGTGTCGTCAGTTGGCACACAACTACAACTACAGTCATACCTCAACGGTTCCCCAGAGACTATTCCGCATACAGAACACTCACAAATATCTTACTCTTATTCAACTGCAAATCATAAATTTATAGAACCATTATATGATATCGACCAAATTTTATATTTAATGAGCAAGTAAAGGCTCTTCAGGCTTCCCTATAGACTAGCTTTTCTGAGGAAGATCACAAATTACTTATCCAAAAAAAAGGAATATACGTTTTAAAAATTCAATACTAGGATTGAAATTATATATTTAAAGATAAAGTAAAGGTTGTGGCTTAAAAAGCTAGTTTAAGTTTATAGATATATCCCTGAGAAAGAGGTTATTTTTTAGTTTTTAAGAAATTTCAAATTTTATTTAAAGTCTTTATATTAAAGAGAAGACCCTTCAAGCTTAATTTTTAGTTTACAAGAAATCTAAAATTGTGTTTGAAATCTTTATATCACTCAGAATCTCTTTTTCTGTATAAGTCGGTCTGTTTCAAAAGTAATTGATAAATATGTCGTCTGAGAAAGAAGTCTTGAAAAGTCTTTTTCTGCAAGATTTAAAACAATATAATTGAATTCAGAAGAGACTGAAAACAAGCCTTCGAATTTTCTTCAAAATAAATTTGAAACATAAAAGCAATATTACATTTAATTGAACTATATTTTTTTTTATTTGTCTAAAGTTTTTACCAATCATTTTTGGTTCTGTTTTAGAAAAGAGATTGCAGATAAGATTCATTTCACTGTGTGATTAAATTTAAATTTTTGAATTATATTTTTGACTATTCCATATGTTTTTTAATCACCACTTCGCAAATTTTCTCTGGCACAGCAAGTACACTTGAAACGAAGAAGTTTAGAACTTTTAGCCTCTGTGTAGAAACTTCATAAATTGCTCAATCATAAAGAATTATGTTAGACAAATATATTAGCGAATTTATCTGTTAAATATATTGATTTAGAAAATGTGAATATTCCATTCTATAGCTGGTTACTAGAAGCATTGTCTATAGAAAAGATTGACTGTAGCTAGGTATGTGCCTCCCTCTGTCTCCTTGCTGTTTATTTATTTAAAATTTCAATTTGTTTTCATACAAAAACTGCATTTACTTAAATAACCAACTGGCCTGCCTGCCTGCCCCTCCATTGCATTCCTTGTAGATGTACTGCTCGGGAGCACAGAATACTCCACATCGCTGGATATGTGGGGCGTTGGCTGCATATTTGTCGAGATGGTCACCGGCATGCCCACATTCCCCGGCATACGTGATACCTACGATCAGCTGGATAAAATATTTAAGCTGCTGGGCACGCCCACCGAGGAGACGTGGCCGAGCGTTACACATTTCCCGGGCTACAAGCCGCACAAGTTGGGTGAGTTCATTTGTTTGAATAGCCCCACAAAATATTTTATGCACACACTAAACTAATTTGTACAAATATGTTTCCTTTTTTCTTTTCTTTTTTTTTTTTGTGTTTGTTGCACAGGTTTTTATCGATCACGGAAACTGGGTCACAATTTTCCTCGTCTGTACGACATCGTCGAGGGCGAGACGATAGCGAACGCGTTCCTGCAACTGAACCCGGAGCAGCGCATCGGAGCCGAGGAGGCTCTGCATCATCCCTACTTTGGGCAGTTGCCAAAGAAACTCTACGAATTGCCAGACGGTGAGTGTCCCACTTCCTATTCCAGTCCCAATCCGAATGCGAATCAAACAGCATTAATAAATTAAACATGAACGAACCTCGAGCCAAACCCATTCCGCCGTGCACTTGCGAGTCCTTCACTGGACACGCAGTACACGAGTAAATGAAACTTCGTGGAAATTGCACAACTTTCGAAATGAATTCGCTGTCCGTCTGTCCTGAGTCCGCATTGTCTGTCTGCAAGTCTATGGGCCCGCTCTTGTTATTATGCTGTTCAGCCAAGAAGAAAACCAATTAAAAAGCGTTGAGTTGTTTACCTAAAGTTTTGTGTAAAGTTTCCTTACATTTGGCGGCGAGATGGCAACGCTGGCACTGTCACATCTGGCCATATTTATTCACTAGGCGGTGTTAAGCAGTGAAACAGTGACTAACAGTCCAGTCCAGAGATGTTACAATAGAGCTTATGAAATGTGCCCAACTCTGCTTTTTGGATCTAAGAAGTCGTTGATGATACTGACACGAGAACTAGTCGAGCTGTCTTGGAAAGTACGAGTTCTAATAATACTTGTAGGTTTATTACTCTTGGTTCGATCGGTTATTGAAATGGAAGTTGCGCTATTTACTTTAATAATATTGACTTATTCTTTGTGTTCGGTTTCGAATATGGAGATTACTGAATGTGCACAAAATAGTATTGTATATAGAAATTCGAATTGTTTAATAGTTTTCTAGTTGAAATCCCAACTCAATTTCGTTCTATTTATTAAAATAGACATTTCAATATATCTGTTTGCAGTTCACACCCATTTTATATTTCCTCCTAGACTCGTTAAATGGACAACTCGTTCATAGAATCTGACTTCTTTTCAAATAGTTGCAAGAAATATTTCAATAATCTTCAGCATTAGAACACAAATGGATATGTTGTCTTATCTTCTGCCATATTGGGAAATCTGAACGCCTCGCGGATTAAGAAATTCTAAGTTCGAAAAAGTATAACACTTTAGAAGAGCAATTAATCAACACTTTGAATACTTCACTTTAGTATTGTTTTGCATCGAGAACGGGCTGTTCTTGAAAAATTGAATTTTGGTATCACGTTCAATAAAATGTAGAAAATATCTTTTCATCTGAGATATGAAATTATGTTTGAAGTCTTTATATCGATCGCAATATCTTCTTCTCCCGACTTTCTTTACAAAATCGTTCTGTTTCCAAGGGAATTTATAGATATGGCCTCCGAGAAAGAAGTCTGTCATGTTTCTTTAGTACAATTATGCAGTATCTATACATATATTATAACTTGGAGACTTTTGAACCGAAAAGCATTTGGACTCACTTAGCTTTTGTATCTCATTTTAGTACAACTTTCAAGTAAACTCCTGTAGCCTTGGCCATGCAACTTTAGTATCAAGTTTCAGTCATCTATTAACTAATCAATGGGAGTACCTGAGTAATGATTCTAAATCTGCATTTCCTGCTCTTTGGATTACCAAACACTGCGTTCAAATACTTTCTGCAAGTAGTGTACCTGTAGGCCCCCTGTTTAATGGAGAATCTGAGACTGTGCGGCAACTCGTCGCCAACTCATTTAAGTTTTCCGACTAGCCGTCTGGCGTACATTTAAGTAATGTTTGCACTATGCACTCAAATGTAATTAAATTGCTTGCACTAATTTGTATTTAATTTGTTGTTGGTACAGCATTCAGAGAGAGAGGGAGGGAGAGGGAGGGAGAGAGGAATTATCCTTCATCCTTTGTTATGCGTGGCTGGCGAGCAATTTCAAATTAATAACCAGAGAACTGCTATTTGCCTGTCGATGCATTAATTACGAGTCGACTTAGCAGGATCGAATCCCTAAAAGCAGCAAAAGCAGCTGCAGGAGTGTTGCAATGAATATTTGAACTTCTTGCTGCACAAAACCAAGCGCGGAAATGGTTGGGGAAGTGGCAGTGGAAATGGAAATATAATGCCCGGCAAAGGGGCTTTCCAAGTGTAAGCCAGCCTGCAATTCAATTGAAAAACTGCAATGCAGCTTAAAAGGTGCTTAAAATGCGATTAACGCGTGATTTGTATACACCTGACCAGAAACCCCGATCCACCCAACCACCCAACCACCTACCTAGCCACCTATCCACCTGCCCAGAACTGTGCGCCATTTGCATAGATTTGTGGTGGGTGTGTGTTTAGATTTGATTCATGTACTGAGTGGGAGGCAATGCTGCCGGGCTGCCCATTTAAATATGCTAATTTAACTCAAAATTGAAATCACAGTCCACTCCATATCAGCCATATCTGTATACAGGATATATATGTGCATACATATATGTTGACTCATTAGAGTTTTAGCTCTCATCTGCGTCAACTGCGGCCGTATTGTGTTTGTTCATTAAACATTTGCATACTGACCGCTGAGCAGCACTCTTCATAGTTAAACATTGCGTTCAAACGCAACTAATGCGCGCCATTTATCATGGGATGGGGATGGGGAGGGGGAGGGGAAGGAAATTCCAGGATCCGGGGGTGCTGGCGTGGATGATGAAAATTGAAAATTAAACCAATACGCGTTTTGGGGTTTCCGCACTCTCTGGCTGCTGGCAGGAAAAGGTCAATGGTCATAAGCCCGGCGCTGAACAAAACCACAGCCACAGCCGGACAGTGGACCACAGACGGACAGCCGGACAGCGAGCGGCAAGCGGCAGGCGGCAGGCGGCGAGCAGACAACGAACGGCCGTGTGAGCCTTGCGGTCACGGCTGGCGAGGGAGGAGTGTGTGGCGTGGAGGACTGGCGACCGAAATGTAATTTGCGTTGCATTTTAATTGTCAACTGTGTGTCGACCGTAAATGAAATTATGCCCGGGCCGGGCTATATGCAAATGTTGTAGCATTTGCCGCAATTCTTGTTGTTTTTTCTATTTTGCTATTGTTTTGTTTAATAATTTAAACTGTGCGCATTTGAAGTTTTTAATTAAAATAGAATGGAAGACTCTAGCAGCTGCCAACACTTGCCAATTCCGTAACTCGTACACTCCTCAGGGGCCCACTGTAGACTCTATAATATAAATGTGATCCGAACTTTTAGATCCATTAAAATCTATTTTGTCGCTTTCACAATATTCGCCCCCTCGAAGCAGCACGAAAAGTTCTTTTCTGGAATGGCCTTCAGTGTATCTTCGATTCGGTTTTGGGATCATATTTCTGTCATAGTTTTCATTTCAGAAGTACATACGAGTGGTTCTCACAGTGAATTTCTTATCAGTTGGTCTTGGTATTTCTAACTCATGGTAAAGATCAAAGGTTTCGAAGTATCCAGAAAGACGTTAAATATTTTAGCTGAGTTTTATATCTAAACCGATTTATCAGCGTCTAAGTTGCTTTTCCCCACATCAATTTTGAAGCAATTCGATATTAATAAAGCGGTCTTACTTCTTTCTTAGTCCTAAATACTAAACAGTTCAAATTCTATTGCTTCCAGCTCTTATAGTCGTAGTGCATTAAACGTTCATACAGTCGAGCTTTTACGAGCACGTACATATACATAATTAATACGTCTGGCGGGCATCTTCTGGGAAATGTTCATCAACTATACTAGTTATCTGTATTCTTTTCTCTAAAGGCTGTCAAAACTCATATACTCGTTGTATCTCCTTAAGTGCAAAGTGTATTATAAATATATGTCTTTTAAACTATCTATATGCATTCCGTTTTGCTAATTATTTTGCATATTTTATTGCCTTTGCAGAGACCTCAATATTCACGGTGGAACGCATACAGCTTTATCCGGAGCCGAATCGACAGAACAAATGAAAATTAAAGCAAGTCCTCTCTGTGGATGGCGTTCGTTTCTATTGTTAGTCAAGTGGTTGGGCAACATACACACACACAGACAGACAGACAGACAGACAGACACACTCTCCACACACACCAGGCACCCCCACTCACGCCCACAGCAAGAGCAGCCTAAAACAACAACAAGAACAACAACAACAACTAGCAGCCATATAAAGAAAATTCTTAAAACTCAAACTAGCGACGAGTTCTTCTTTCTGTACAATAATTTTTTAGTTTTTAGTTTTCAAATGCAAAACCACCACCACAACAACAACAACAACAACACCCACAACAACAAATGTGTGAAATGAGAAAATGAGGCGACGGCCATGGCCATGGCCAACAGCCATCGACGAAACTGTGCATTTTTGAGTCAAAATCGTGCCTAGCCCTAGCAGTTCGGTTAAGGAGTAAGCAGCGCTCATTATAGGGCCCTGTGGTCTAACAAAACAAAGGATACTCAGTTTAGTCAAATTTGTGTCGATTTTAAAAAAGCAAGCGAATTGTGGCAACTGAATACGCAGACTATTTTTCTGTAGCCTTTTATAATTGTATTAAATTCTTGTTAGTTAAATATTTTGAGCGGAATCAATTGGCGGCAATATATAGTATACATGTGTATTGTTTCACAAATTTTTAGCTTTAGTTATACACTGAGAACAATTTTTCTGCAATTTTGTAAAAACAAAAACAACAAACTAATATGTTTTGTGTGTAGTCTGCGTATATAAAATATTATACATACATATATTTCAATTACTTTCCTAGACTTATTGTATGCATAAACTAAAATATATTTTGTTAATTTTTTTAAATAGGCCGCAATTATTTTTTGAAACTGAATGCTGTAGTAGAGCTGAGGCGTCAGCTCCATTGATTAGGCTTGCAGAAAACTTGATTGATTTAACACATCCTGTGTGTATCCTGTTTCCTACGCAGCTCTTTATAGGCGTAGACCCTATGCCCTTAAGACAAGCATACTATGCATATGCAATTATACATAAATTTATAGTTTGGAGTATCTAGGAATGCAAACTATTACAAACGATTTATTTGTAATCTAATTTTCTCACAGTTCTTTGTAATTTTTTATATACATAGTACATACATACATTATTATAATTTAGGTAGGTGCCTAACCTATCTGTTATAATTTAAATGCTTCATTGTTATTAAACAAAATATTTGCGCTGTTTAAGTGATAATTTTTTATGATTATTAATTAAAATAAATGAATTTATGTAAAAAGCAAAGCAATTAAAACAAAATAAATTTAAAAACACCTTTAATTATCTTATTTTATTTTAATTCCCTTTCATTTAATTCATTGTTTGGTTTCGCAAGAACGTCGCTAAGTAATCAGAAAACCCCCCGAAACACTATATAAGAATACGCAACTCTACTTAGAACTAAAGGCAACCATTTGAAATTGAACTAAATCCTAGTAATGTACTTAGTATAAATATAGCAAAAGTTAATTATAGTTATACCAAAGCAACACTAAAGCTAAAGCATGAAACCACCAACAAAACGGACTTAGATTTTCGGGAATTAAACAGAGCTAGTTACATAAATACACAGATAATTAAATAGTACGTAGAGTACAGTTTTGAACCAAATTACAACATTTAACACATAGTTGAGAATCAAATTTAAAGTCGAACTGTAGTAACAAATTTTTAGAAAAACAGCAGAAACTAATGAATTCTAAATAAAATAGCCACCAACACCAAATTTATTCTAACGATAAACTAATCAAGTGGAATTCAAGTATTTTATACAAAAATGGTGAAATCTAATAATGAAAGGCATTTCGTTATATTCCTGAAAATTGTTAGGCATCCCAATACAGATAAAACTCATTGATTTTGAAGATTGTTCATTAAATACAATTTAGAAGCTTAAGGATATTATTAATATTATCATGTAATTTCTAAAATTTTCGATTCTAAAAGAGTGAAGAAATTGAAGGAAAGTGTCCACTATCCTGTCGGAAGATTGTTTTATTCCCAGCTCGGTTTTAAGGCCGATGTTTCTTTCTGAGTGAAGAAGTTGAGAAACGTTTCCACTTTCCTATCTGATGTACATGCATTCCGAGCTAGACGTCGAATCTTTTAGACGAACCCATAATATTTCCTGAGTGAATAAGTTGTAGAGGGACGACATTATCCAGACGACCGCTCTTAACTTTAGGGAAGAACGAAATGCCTGTTATTAAATTTCGCCAACTGTAGAGTTGTAGGAACAAAAGAAAAAGTACCCTAGCATCCAATTAACACCCAGAAGAGCCCATCACGATGTTTTGAGAAACGTTGCGCCTCCGTTGAGAGAGGACACATGAACAAAAAGAACGAGCCGGCAGAGAGAGGCAGAAAATTAAACAAAATGTGCAAATTGAAATCAAAGATACTTCAAAAGGTTTGAACAGATTATAAACAAAAAGGTAATGGAATCAAAAAACAAACAACAACAAATAGTTTGCGTATAGCAATGAAAATGAGATCTAAATTTAATGTAGCGCAAATATATAACAAATATTATTATAAACAAATAGAGCTCTTATGCGAAAACTAATGCAAATTTGAGTTGTAGGCAATCAAATTGCTGCGAAACAGCAAGCCACAAACCCTTATGATATGATATGAAGAATTTTTAATAGTGCGCCCTATATCAAGCACAGCAAATACTTAAACTATAGTACGTTTAGCAAATAAAACATTGAATATTCAATGCGAGACGCAGCAAGAAGAGTTCACAAACATTTTATGCATGTGGCTCATTAGTTGTGGGCCACCAGTGTGCTGAGGCAATGTTTTTAAACGGCAAAATGGCAACCACGAAAAATTCTATTTTTTAGTAAAAGTTAAAAATATTCAAAAAAAAAAAAGAGAAGAAATTCAAATAAAAAACTTTTTCTGTGATTTATGAAAAAAGTAAAAGTAAAACAAACCGAAAACTATACTCGAAACTAAAAAGCAAGTGTGAGATGAAATACCGAATGCAGCAGAATAACAAACAACAAACAAATAACATAAACAAAAGCATAGGCGATATGTGTATTCTAGTATACTCGCAAAATTGTACGTAGGCGCTTTAGATACTAAAAAAAGTAGATGCGCGGCAACTTAGAAGGCAACAAAAATGTTTAGAATTATTTGCTAGCCAAAAATATTTAAAATCGGGGTTTGCACTCTGCTTATGCTCACGAGTGGCTCATGATCATGAGCAGAATGTGAGCAGCTCATTTGAAAATGACGTCGCCCTTATTTGCTCACGAGTTGCTCATGAGGAAGGGCATTCTGATTGAGCTGCTCAATGAGCCACTTTTGCGAACTCCGATTAAAACACACACACACACCCACACACGAACATTTTCGAGGCAATTGCACGTTTTAAAAATTTAAGCAAAGCGATTAATAGAAATAAAATATAAATTGCATTTTACTTGTATATTGTACGGCAACATTGTTTCTGCGATCACAATTTTGTTCCATTAAGTAAACAAACAAAAAGCAACACAGACGGCAATTCTGTTTCGAGCTGAACATAATACTTGTGTATTGGTAGAACAGCATGAAGATAGTGATGATGAACTGTAAACTTTAACGAACACGGCAACGCACTTTTGCACTCTCCCATCCCAAAGGTTACGTCCATAGTTTTTAAGCCTTTGAGCCAAAAAAAGCAAATCAAACAAAAGAAAACAAAACAAAACAAACAATGTAACGAAGAATCGAATGAACAAGTAAGCAATTTTTTATTTGAAAATTGAAATCGTGTATTAAGCAGCCAATTGCGATTTTTTGATACTCACAGTTTTTCAGTTACCTTTTGCAGCCATAACTGAGTTTTGCACGAAAACAAAACAAACAAACAAAAGAAAAAGTAAGCTAAAGCTAAAACAAAGAATCAGAATCTCTAAAAATAATAATCATCCATGGTAATACCTAAGAATGTTTTTAGCTGAACGTGTGTGTCTCTATCTCTAGTCGTACTCTCTCTCTAGTAGCTAAGAAGGGGGGCTTCGCTGCCCCAATGGCCAGTAGACCCCCCAGGAACGAAAGGTAAAATAATGAAAATTATCTCGCGATCATAATGAAGAGCAACACTACAACAAGATATAAGGAAAAGGAGCAAAAATAAATAATATTTTTAATGCATTGAATTTGTCGTAAATATTTACCGTACCTTTGTTAAAAACAAAATAAATCTATTTAAAAAAAAAAAACAAAACAAAACACACAAACTATATTTAAATACATGAGTTCAATTTAATGAATAATGAAAGAAAATGATTGAAGCGAAGAAAGTGGAACATTGAACGAATTCTATACAATTTTGTGTTTAATTTTAAGCATTTTTGTATCGTTGATTATGATAATGAAGATAAAGAAGCATGAGTTAGGGGTATAACTCAACTGTTGTCTTAAGCCCTGCACAGCCAGAGTAAATCGAAATCGAAAACAAACAAAACATGAACTTGGAGCGAAAGCAAACGATTTGTAAATAACTGTAGTTGATTTCTAAGTAGAAAAAACAGAATAGAAAAACCAAAACCAAAACCACAACAAACTAACAAAGGCCGGATATTGAATGTTTATTATTTAACAAATGAAGGGCAACTAAATATAATTGAATAAGTTCAACCTGTACAATAATTTAATATTAAATAAAATGCAAATTTGCAAAATGAGCAACTTCGATGGCATTTTCCATTCCATTCCACACAGCTGTGTGGGAACCAAGTGAGAGTATTTTTAATTTGTTATTACATACTTTATTGAACAGTTTACACATGTCTGCAATCGATCAACTATAGAAAAGGAGCAAAATGAGTGTTAAAATACAACCCTGGGTGACAAGCGCGTGCTTGCGACTTGATATTACTGTACTGCGTACTATTTTTTTCCAAAATTATTTATTTTCAGATGAACAGCTTTAGAAATCTATCTTGTATGTAGTGCCAAAACATCGATGTATCGACTATTGCCATATGTTTTCAAAAACCAAAACATTGCTGGGCATCAGGTACATTTAAAAACATGCCGACGGTCGCACCCAAAATACCCTTGCAAATATTCTTTACGTTTTTAATATAACATATTATAGATACATGTGATATTTTAATTTAACTAATTTCATACCTATATGTTTAAGAAATGTCGAAAACAAGTACATTTAATGTGAATATAGGACGGGCAAGAATCGGCGGTGGCTGATACGACGTGTTGGTTTAAATCGAGTAGCATTTTAATACGATTGCCTAATTAACGACAGATCGCCTTCTCTCGGTCGATTTGGCCCAGCCGAGGTTAAAGGTAATGTCTTTATTTTACTTTTGATGTTCATGAACCAATAATTCTAACTTCGACTTTACAGATCCAAAGCAGAATTGGGTCATAATTCAAATTTTGATAGGCACTATGGAGAAACAACAGGATGGACTAGATGTCCATCGTTCACTACGACAATGAAAAGAGCAATTCTTTAGGATGCATGGGTTCGGATCACATGCCAATTAATGACTACAAAGTCGTGATCAGAGCGGATAACAACCAAAGATGAAGTCGCAATTGCAACGAATATACGAAAGACACCGTTCTTACGACACATTGCAATACCCACTTCAGTGTGAAAATGATAAATGCTTTGAGCGAAGAGTATTATAGTAGTATATTACCTAATACTAAAATGAAATTGTACATAAATGAGTCAATTAAAAAATGTACAGATATTTTAGATACATTATAAGAAACAAGTTCAAGTCGTTAGAGCTCCTCCCTGTATGTAATATGTACTTATACTTATTCACAAATATATACAGCGGATGCTCAAAAGAGAAACTGAACAAAAAACTACCACTCCAAAAAACTGCACCAACAAAAAATGTAATTTGTTTCATAATCTTGTATATTCCACCGTTATTGTATAATGAAACTTCCCCATTACTGATGACGACTTATGTATGTTAAAACCACTTCACCCACAGACAGGGGAGCAGAATCAAAAGGTTATTTTCTCCAACTACTTGAAAAGAAAGCTAAGTACACATAATCGCAAATTCAAAGTCATATTATGCTTACAGCATTCCAGACCATAGAGCGCAGTAATTGATGCATATACATATGAAGAAGTCGAAAAGCTAAAGGCGGGAGCTCCGACTTTG